GTCTGGGCTGATGCTGATGAAGACACTCAGGACTTTTGGATATGCAAGATCATCAGCGTTCTCCATAAGAGGCTCCATGTCCACTGGTGGAACTTTGCTAATGGCCACTGGACTGACCATGGCTCTGAAAGCACTGTTCCAATGGGGTCTGTTTTAGCTTGTGGCTTTGACTTTAACGCCAACACTGGAGTTACCCCACCCACCCTTCAAGCAATATTTAGACACCTGTAAATAAAACTTCTCTTCTCTGTGTACATTCAAATTCCACAGTGTTTTTATCTCATGTACACCTGTTTTTAGTTTCATTAAAAAGTACCACTATCACCTTTTTCTGGACACAGTGTTGATACCAACCAGGACTACACCATGTGAATGCTGATGCCATGATGTGTGGACCCATCAATGATGGTGAGGCCCATGAGGAGCAGCCAGACCTAGTGGTGGTGATGATGAGGGGATCAAAGGACCCCTCCAGTTGCACATGCTACAGTTGGGAGGAAGGAGTGGTCAGGTGGTCTAGCCATCATATGGGGCACAGGACTGTCAACACAGACCAGTTGAATGTGGAGCCAGCAGGCTGACCAGCCACAAACACAATGCTGTGCATTGCAGCAAGACCAATGTCATTGCAGCAGGAGGACTGGGCAAGGAAATGCCAGCCAAAGAAGGGGGCCTGGGCTGGATAGCACTGGCTGAACAGGAGGACCACATCAAGCAAGAGGACCCCAAGGCCATGGAGGACACCAAGCACAAGGAGCTCTCCATCAACAATGTCTGATGGCTGCAGAGGGAGGACCCTGACCTGCAACTGCTCATTCATTACCTCAAGTGGCAGGAGCTGCCTGACAACCCAAAGCTGAGCCAGCACATCATCCTCAAAGCTGGACAGATGGCCATGACGCCTGAGTGACACAGGAGTGAGCTGGTGAATTGACTACACAATGCTCACACCTACATGCACACAAACCAAGAGTGGGCGCAGCAATTGGATCAAAGGGCGTTCAACTTCCAATGAGAGCAGAGCCACTACCACGCTGGGGACAAGGTGTGGCTCCAGGCAGCCCACCTCCCTCATGGCAAGATGGCCAAGCTTGCACATATGTGGAAAGGCCCCTACTGAGTAAGTGAGGTGAGGGGCAGCTGGTGTTGGCCCTCCAGCATGTCAACAACCTGCATGACCAACAAGTAGTCAGTGTCCAATGTGTCAAGCCATGCCAACTCAACGAGGGCCTAGCTGACTTCATGCAACGGCTACAAGATCAACAGGCTGGAGATGTGGATGATGGTGAAGACATTGAGATAGAGGCCATCCTCAACTACCAACCTTGAGGAAAGTGTGGGCAGCAGTTCCTTGTCTGATATGCAGGGCACATGGCCTGGTACAATGTGTGGGTTGATGAAGAGGATCTACAGGCTGATGAGCTACTTCCCTGCTACCTACATGACCAAAAACTCAAGGACGCCTCTACTGAGGCATTGTAGTGCACGCCTCAATGGAAATTGAAATGTCACTGATGCAACAAGCCTGATTAGTATGGGAGGAGTGAGATGTGGACTTGTGCCTGTGTCGTGCTCCTCCTTTATGTGTTGATACTGTTCTCCCTTTGTTCCCTCTTCCCTATCTCTGACCCCTTTATCTAGATATGAGTTTGTGTTGGTCAAGGGCGATATATATTATACACACCTCTTCTACCTATTCCTTGGCCTCCTAGTACATATACGTCCTGAACCTCATGTGCACCGCATGTCACCTAAGCATGTTTGTGGTAACTGTGGCTGTGATGGTGCTTGGTGCTCTCCAAAGGAGAACGAGCGCTGCCACAGCTGATTGTTGGTGTAAATGAAGTACTTGTGCTCCTGCATCAGCGCCTGAAGCATGTTCAGCTGATGCAGATGAGTGAGCAAGAAGAAGACCAAGATTCCAGACCTTGTTTTGATATTTGTTATTTTATTGTTGTAGGCATTGGATATCAAAACGTTCCATCGAAGAGTAACTAGCGTCACCTTCTGGTAACTACCAGCTTACTCTGGAGGTGCACAAGCGCTGGCAACGAGG